TGTTTCTTGCCAGCTTTCTTAACTTTAAATTACCCCATCTACCTTTTGCCTCTAGGCTTTTTCCTTTTCTTACTTCTGTGTATCTTACTTTCACTCTCACTCCGTGGCTGGCTGAGTGGTTGGCCCTAGCACCCTCCTCTCCTTTTTCTCTTGCTCTTTATTCTTCTTCTCCCAGATTTCTCTTTCTATTTATCCTTTCTGCCTGCCAGCCCTGTCTATCCTTTCTCCTGCCTTGCTATTGGCCGTTCAGCTCTTCATTAGATCATCAGGTGTTTTAGACAGGCAAAGTAACACAGCTTCATAGAGTTAAACAAATGCAACATAAAAGAACGCAACACATCTTTGCATTATTAAAACAAATGTTCCTCAGCATAAACAAATGTAACACACCTTAAAATACTATTCTACAACAACTAAACTTGGTAGCAAAAGCTTTTACCTTAGTGGAACATCTCACTAAGCCCTACTATTACTTTTAATCACCCACCATTCCTAGATACTATGATCCTATTGCTGAAGACACCATGCACTTGGGTTGTAGGACATAGAGAATTCAATCTGGAATTGGATGGGAAACTTCCTCCCTGCAGGCTAGCTTTCATGGTACTGAAAGATGTTACGCAGACCACTGAGAGCCGTGGTCTTACCCATTGCTGGACCCTGAATGTTACAACACTGACTTATCAGGCAAGTTGTGCAAACTGGTGCAATAGTAGCATAACTGTGTGGTGGTGTTGTGTTCCCCAAAATATTGTGTGCCCTAATAAACTTATCTGGGGTCAGAGAACAGAGCAGCCACTAGATACAGAGGCCAGAAAATGGTGGCACTCACGCCTTTAATCCTAGCATTCCAGAGGCAGAGATCCATCCAGATCTCTGTGAGTTCAAAGCCACACTGGAAACGGTCAGGCATGGTGACACATGCCTTTAATCCTAGGAAGTGATGGCAGGAAGCAGAAAGGTATTTAAGGCGTGAGGACGAGGAACTAGAGCCTGGTTAAGCTTTTAGGCTTTTTAGCAACAGTTCAGCTGAGATCCATTTTGGATGAGGACTCAGAGGCTTCCAGTCTGAGGAAACAAGATCAGCTGAGGAATTGGCCAGGTGAGGTTAGCTGTGGCTTGTTCTGCTTCTCTGATCTTCCAGCATTCACCCCAATACCTGGCTCCGGGTTTGTTTTTATTAATAAGACCTTCTAAGATTCGTGCTACATAACTATTATGAGGTTATTCAAGTGATCTTTTAAAAATTGCATTTGAGGCCCATTCCATAGGAAGGAACTTATGCCTGGTACTGTTAATCTTGTTAAAAGCCCATGGCTGAGAAGTTCACAGGCCCTAGTGGGGAACTATTACTATTATAAACTATTACTATTGCTTTGCTTAATGGTGAGCTTGTCAAATCACCTTCTAAATATTTATATTTATACCCACAGATTCGGGCTGCTCTTAACCTTGGTCATATGTGAACATAACATGGCCATTGCACTTATGGGCTCACGGCACCTGTACTTCTCACCACAAGACCTGTATAAGGTCAAGCCAGTCCAATTTCAGCATGGATAGAGGGGTGCTCATAAAGCCTCACTTCTACTGAGAAGTTCTTAATGTTGGAGGCTGCTGTGGAGGGAGAGTAGTGTTTCTTTGGGGACATGCCCATCGGTAGATTGGTTGTCCACACTCAGGGACAGGGAGAGCTGAAGAGGAGAGAAGTGAGAAGAGATGATCAAAATATGTTGTGTACACATATGAAAAGCTCAAGTAACCAAAAATCATATTAAAAAAAAAATAGCCAAAGCCAGGCAGCGGTGGTACATACCTTTAATCCCAGCACTCAGGAGGCAGAGGCCGGCAGATCTATGTGAGTTTGAGGCCAGTCTGGTCTACAGATCGAGTTCCAGGACAGGCTCCAAAGCTACACAGAGAAACCCTGTCTCAAAAAAACAAAAACAAAACAAAACAAAACAAGTAGCCAAAAAGGAACACACAGAATTAGTGTTTGGAGAATCTATATGTAAATGGACTCTACAAGCATTATTTTGTTATTGCTTTTGTATTACTTGTTTTTGTTTGTGTGAGACAAGGTCTCACATACCTGAGGTTTGCCTTGAACTTCTGATTCTTCTTCCTTTGTCTCATATTTTTTGTGCTAATAGTATATATTTACATGAGACTTTTTTTTTTTTTTTAAATAAGACAGGGTCTTTTTATGTAGCTCTGGCTATCTTGGAACTCACTATGTAGACCAGGCTGGTTTTGAACTCACAGAGATCCACCTGCCTCTGCCTGAGTGCTGTGTCATAGTTGGCAAGGTTTTTTTTTTTTTTTTTTTTTACACCAAACGCTCTTCTTCTCCTCCAGTCCTCCCTCCTTCATCCCCTCCTCTCTCCTTTTTCTGCTTGCTTGCTTGTTGTTATACAAGGTTTCACTAGCTAGCCCAGGCTGGCTTGATCTCTGGTCTCAACCTTCAGAGTCGCTGGGGTTACAGGCATACACCCTCGTCCCGCCAGAGCCAAGTTTTGAGTCTAAGCCTTCTAATTTCAGAGTCCCTGCCCTTAACCACAGCACTGTTCTACACAGCAATTACTGTCCATCATTCATGAATTAGCAGAGAAACCAAACTGTTGTCACCAAATTGAAATTCCCTGGGTAAATGAAAACTAAACAGTAAAACAAATTGTATTTCTATGATCATCTTTATGCTTTGTGAATTCATTTTTTCAGTAGCTGCTACCATTTTGTGACTTAAAAGAAAAAAAATATTTCAAGACAACATTTTGCTGTCATACAGGCTGGTCTCATTCAAATTCATGGACTCAAATGATCTCCCTGCTTCAGCTTTCTTAGCAGTTGGGAATACCACACAGGAGTTCAAGTAAACACCCCAGCATGGTGTGTGTGTGTGTGTGTGTGTGTGTGTGTGTGTGTGTGTGTGTATGTGATTTTTGCTGTTTGAGACAGGATCTTACTATGTAGTTACTCTGGTCTTAAACTTGTGATCCTCCTTCCTCTGGACTGTTAGAATGGCAGGGGTACAACATGACTCCCAGAAAAAAAAAAAGTATTTAAATTTGATATAAATGAAAATTCATGTTCTATCCAGTGCTAACGTGTAGTGCTTCCTTTCCTATGGAAGCTAAATTCAGTTGTATCTGGCCACACCTTGGATGGCAACGGAATCATTTAATAGTGTTCTTAGTTTGCTTGCTTGCGTGTGTGTGTGTGTGTGTGTGTGTGTGTGTGTGTGTGTGTGACAAGACAACTCTCACTGTCAGTTCTTACCTTTTGCACTTGGTTTAAGACAGGCTTCCTTAGCCACTGCACTTGTAAGCCTGGCTAGCTGGCCTGTGGGCTTTTGGACACCCTCCCTTCTCTGCCTCCTGCCTTCTTGTAGACAAACTGGGATTACAGAGCTTGGGCTAGTGCATCTGGCTTTTCACTATGACTAGTAGCTTTTTCTGTGCGTTCTGGGGCTCCAAGTCCAGGTGGTCAGGCTTGCAGGGCAAGTACTTTTTGGACACTAACCCATCTTTCCCCAGCCCCTAAGGCTGTTAAAATAGTGAATATCTATATTGAAATCGGCTGGAGGTTGGTAGCTCAGTGGTAGAGCACTTCCCTGGAACTCCAGGCCCTGAGTTTGAGTCGCACCAACACACACTTTTGATCATGCGTGGTTCTACAAAATAAATGAAACCTATTTTGCTAACTCTTCTCTTCCTTGTGCTTGTTTCCCCGACTCTACGCAGTGGCTCCAGTCCTAATTCAAAAGCAAAATTTCAGGTGGTACGTCCAGTAACTGAGCCTTTTAAAAACACAGCTAACAAGGAAGTCAAAGGAATAGCAGGAAATAAGCATCATGGAGTCTTCGAGGATTGAAAAAAAACAACTGGCTCAACCTTCAGATGAAGGAACACAGTGGGGGTGGGATGTCGAGACAATCGCACACGGGGTTTATGTCAATAAAATCACTTCTCTTCCGCCCGGGTCACTATTTAGACAACAGACGCTAAAGATGAGTAAGTTCTGACTCAGAAACGAGGTCAAAGTGATATTTTTTTCCTTGTCAACAAAGGAGGGCCCGACCTCGTGCACAGAGAGGAAAACATGTCTGTCGGGAGATGAGCTTTACTGTCAAGCCTTTTAAAGCCAATAGAAACACATGCGGTTAGATGGCAGAAGAGTTCGAGAGCAATCCATGGGAGTATGAGGAAGTGAGCTATACTGCTTTGCCAATAACACCGCAATGTGCACGCAACCTAGGCGAAGGCAATTTAACATCAAGAAATAATCCCCCAAATTAAAATTAAGTTAAGCCTGCACTTTACCATCGCCCCATGAAATTTGTACCATTTCAAACTTCCCTCTAGGCCAGCTGCTAAGTGTATGCGAAGGACTCCTCAATTGAATGGCAGCGAAGCACAGGGATTCAGAGCCTCAGCTGTTTGCAGCTGAGCTGCGCACGTGGTGGGTTCTCAGCCTCCTCTGACTTGACAGGTGGAGGTGGGACAGGAAAGACTGGGGGCCCACACTCCCCCAGGGCGGGGTGGTGTGTGGAGCCGAACGTGGGTGAACTTCCGCACCCGCAGGTTCGGATCCGGAGCCCGGGCACAGTGAAGCACCCGAGGGCCCCCCAGAAAGCTTCGGTGGATCGGTGGGCCCCGGCCTCCACCCAGCGGGGCGCGGCGCGGGGCGGGGCCACCTGGAGCTCCGCCCTCCGAGTAGCGGAGGTGCTTGGGCGAGAGAGGGGGGCGGGAGACGCTCTGTCCCACGCTCGCCCTGTGCTCGGTGGTTTAAAGATGGCGGCGGCGGCTGGGGCGCGGAGCCGCCGGAGGGGGAGGGAGAAGGAGAGCCTGTGAGACGCTGGGAGGCAGCGCGGCGGCGGCTGTAAGGAGTCCGCGTGCGGAGCCGCCGGCGACTCGGGCCTGGGGGCGGCCTGGGCTTGGACTGGAGAGGCCGGAGCGGTGCCAGGGGCTCCGAGGCCGGAGCGGAGGAGGAATGTGAGCAGGGGTCGGCGGGGGCGCGGGAGTACGCGAGCGGCGGGATGGGGCAGCAGGTGGGCCGCGTCGGGGAGGCTCCCGGGCTCCAGCAGCCGCAGCCGCGCGGGATCCGGGGCAGCAGCGCAGCCAGGCCCTCGGGCCGCAGGCGGGACCCGGCGGGGCGTACCGCAGACACCGGCTTCAACGTCTTCACCCAGCACGGTGAGTGTGTCCGGAGCCGGCGGAGGACGTGAGGGGGAGGCCAGGGCTGGGGTGGGGTCGGGGCGAGGTGCGAGGCGGACGGGCAGCCCTCGGGGGGCGAGGGCTGGAGGGGTGCCCGCGAGTGGGGGCGGAATCCGCTGCCATCTGGGCCAGTCACGGGAGGCGAGGCACACCCCTCCCCCCGCCCCGGCTCGGCTCTCCAGCCTGGCTGGCAGCGTCTGGGGGCGGCGGCAGAGAGAGCAGGCAGGGGTCTTAGGGACCCAGGCTAGACTGTCTGCTGTCCTGGGACAGGACGGTGGGAGGGGGGGGGACGACGACTGTGGAACAAGGGATGGTATCCCTAGGGAGGGAAGGATGAAGGCAGGTATGAGCTCAGGTTCAGGAGGTGGGAGGATAAACCGGTTGTTAACGACGGGAACGAGTCGTGCCCTGAGGAACTGGGAAATAGGTACTGCATCTTAAGAGATCGTGGCATATGCCGTTTGTGTTTCGTTAAATCAGGCAGCGAGCAGTGTTAGAATGGTCAACTGTGAACCCTTTTTAGCATCTCTTTACTTTCACCAGAGTATTTCTCCCTAAACTAAAAAGGAAGGGCTTTGCCAAACCACCCTATTCTGTGTATCTGAGTAGGACACAGGATTCTGAGATGGCTGGCGGGGCTGTAGATGGGTGGGTATGGTTAGGGCTTCCATGTGGATATGAATGTGAGTTTTTCTTTGAGCCGCAGTTGTGTGTGTACATGTATGCATAGGTGCTCCAGGTAGTCTGGAACTTACGCCGTCTCATACAGTTTTCAGAAGAGCTGACTTCAAACTATTTAAAATTACATTTATTTTGCGTGTGAGTGTGTGTGTGCGGGCGTATGTATGCAGAGCTCAGAAGACAACTCGGGGAATCATTTCTCTACTTCCACCATGTGGGTTCCAGGTATTGAACTCATCATCAGGCTTGGAGGCAAGTGCCTTTACTTACTGAGCCATCTTGTCGGTCCAGTGTCTCTAAACTCCTAATAAATACAGATTTTGAGCATACACACTATTAATTCGTGTGTCTTTATTATATACACGAGCTACTGTCCCACTAATGCAGTTAACAAACAGAAATAGAGTATAAGAAAAGGTGCTCTGTGAATCAGTGGCAGTGCACACAGCATGACAGAGGCCCCAGATTCAAGCCCCAGCAGCCCCCCCCAAAAAAGTATTAATTTTTTCCCCCCCTGAAGCCAAGTGGATTCTTTTGTTCCTCTATAGTGTTGTTGACCATTTTTGAGAGCACTTTTCTAGAGAAGGGCAGAATAGAGAAGGGGGGGGGGGGGAAGCAGAAGATATCCTCATACCCTCAAGAGGCTGGTGATGTAGATGTGAGTTCTATGGATAAGACCGGCTTGTATAAACTGGACGAGGAGTAGCAAACTACAGTTTCACTGACAATACATGTAGAAGCCAAATAAAGAATATACAGTGTCCCACACCACATAGTTTGGGGAAGGGAAGGATAAGAAGTGTAAACTAGTGGGGTGGTGGCGGCGGCGCACGCCTTTTAATCCCAGCACTCGGGAGGCAGAGGCAGGTGGATCTCTGTGAGTTCTAGCCCAGCCTGGTCTACAAAGTGAGTTCCAAGAAAGGCACAAAACTACACAGAGAAACCCTGTCTCAAAAAAGTGTAAACTAGTCACGAGAAAGGGCCTTTCAAAGCAAGTGATAGATGGTAGTATGCAAAAAGATGATCCCAGGGTTTTATAGCCATCGGTCGAGTTGCATCTGAGTTCTTCATTTGGACCTTTGTTTCCCTTTTCCTTTTTTAATTTTTAAAAAACAATTAAAATTTTTATTTGTACAGGTGTTTTGCTGCATGTATGTCTGTGTGCCATATGCATACCTGATGCCCAGAGAGGCCAGAAGGAAGGCATCAGGTCTATTCTTGGAACTAGACGGTGGTGAGCTGCCATGTGGGTGCTGGTGATTGAACCCAGGTCCTCTGGGGGAGCAGTGGGTGCTCCTAACCACTGAGCCATCTCTCCAGCTCCAGAGTTGTTTCTTAATGGAGGAGGTGGGTGATTTTGGGCATTTTAGTTTTCCATGCTCACTCTTGAAGTGCTTGAGCAGCTCTTCAAGGTGTATGGATTTGTATGCAGGTGCTATTCGTATAGTGTTTATTAAAGTACTAAAACATAGGGAAAGGGTTAACAGTTCTCAGGAAATCCACATAGCTTTGCTTTATGGAATTACCTAAGTGTGGCCCAGTGGGCAGCAGTGACCCTTCCTCCTCCTCTGGTCTGTAAGAAGGAAGAAGTCATGAAGGATGGACAGGGTTTAGAGCTGTGGAGCTGGAAAAGAGCAGGCTAGGCAGAAGACAATTGGAAAATGGGAAGTCGTGGATGAAATAGTTAGGAGACAGGAGAACAAAGTTGCAAGAGTGGTAGTTTGGGTTTTCCTCTTCCTTTTTTTTTTCTTTTGTGATACAAAGTCTAACTGCACAACCCTGGCTGGCCTGGAACTCACTGTGTAGACCAGGTGCCCCTCAGACTGACAGAGATTGGCCTGCTTCTGCCTCCTGAGTGCTGGGATTAAAGAGGTGTGCCAGCATGCACATGTGTCCTCTTTGTTTAGTTCAGGCCTCCCTCAGACTTGCAGTCCTCCTCCTCCTCCCTCAGACTAAAATGCTGAGATTATGGAGGTGAGAATCCAGCTGCCATCTTTGAGTTTATTTGTCTGTGAAAGAGATGCCCTTTATTTGTAATCTTATGACTCTAAGTGAGGAGTAATAGGAACAAAACCTTTAGTTGATGGAGAGAGACTGGGTTATAGGAAATCTGGCAGAAAAGCTTCATCGGTTTAGTTGATTGGCTATAGTTTATAGGTTCTATCAGTATACTCAAGTGTGAAAGGTAATGGCTGGGCAGTTGGCTTTGAAGTCAGGATTAGAAGCAGTGGAAACAGGAGAGGTAAGTTCAAGGGTATTTCTGTTCATGCAGGGAATAAGAGTGTTTTTGAGTACCTATTGGGCTCTGAGGGCCTTGTGAACGTGAGTCCTAACTTCAGGAACTTAAAGGACTTGATCTCCCACCCCACCCCCTGCGTAACAGTTCTGGCTGCCCTGGAACTTGATTTGTGGACCAGGCTGGCCCCAAACTCACAGAGATCTGCCTGCCTCTGCCTCCTAAGTGCTGGGATTAAAAGCATGGACCACCATGGCCTGGCTAAGGACTTGATTCTAATAATTCTCTTTGGGATTGTTGAAGGTGGGAACCCTGGGGCCATTGTATCAGTATTTGAAATCTGACTGTTATTTCCTGTGTGACCCTAGGCAAGTTATATATTAGGCTCCGTAAAATAGGGATTATAAGAGTACCTAGTATTTTATGGGTTAATATATGCAAAGCATTTAGAATGATGCCTTGCACATATTATGAGTTCATTGTGGGCCAAGTGTGATGGTGCACAACTTTAATCTCGGCACCCAGGAGGCAGAGACAGATGAATCTCTTTGAGTTCAAGGCTAACGTGGTCTACAGTGAGACCCTGCCTTAATAAACAAATAAATAATTTATGAAAAGAATTCAGTGTGTCTTACCTGTTTTCATCATTCTTCATTATTATTTTTATTTTATGTTCATTGGTGTTTTGCCTCCATGTATGTCTGTGTGTTACACAGAATGTCAGAAGTCTTGGAACTGGAGTTACAGACAGGTGTGAGCTGCCATGTGGGTACTGGGAATTGAACCCAGATCCTCTGGAAGAGCAGTCAGTGCTCTTAACCACTGAACCATTTCTCCAGCTCCTATTTTTATTAAAAACAAGGATATGTCAAAGTTAACATCAAGGTTTTATACCTGGGTAACTGGGAATATGATTTTATTGGCAAGGTTGAAAGTTAGCAGATGGATGGGATGTTAATATAATAGGCAAAGGCTAGTGTGAAAAAGAGTAGAAATAATAAATACTGGAAGAAATGAAGGTAAAGTAAGTACTTTTTAATTTTTGGAGGGGGGTAGTCTGGGGATTGAACTGAGGGCCTCATGCAAGCCGGACTATCCTACCACTGAGCCACTGTGTATCCATTCATTACAGTAGAGGCCCACGATGGATACCCTGTCTCACCTCGGGAGGCTGAGATTAGTAATGTGAAGACATTTTTTGCTTGTACCTAAGGAGACAAAAGTAGGTGCTCTCGAGGGCTAGGGAGATGGCTTAGTGGTCAGGCATGCCAGAAGTCCTGTCTTTAACCCCCTGTACTGTTTAAAAACCAGACAGACAGACAGACACCTGAGGCTGAGACACTTGAGTTTGAGGCCAGCTTGGTCTGCATACCAAGTACACATTTGGCATTATTGTGAAAAATAATCTAGGTCATGGAACTAGTATATAAATCACTATCCTTTAGCCGGCACATGCCTATAATCCCAGCCCTAGGAAGCTGAGGCAGATGGATTGCTGTGTATTTGAGGTTAGCCTGGGGGTATGGAGTGAGTATCAGACCAGCAAGAGCTGTGTAGTAAGGCCTTGTCTCAAAAAACTGGGAAAAGTTTCCCGTTTTGAGTTCATTGAATTCCTAGCATGTAAAACCATAACTAGAAGGTCTGGTGTAGAGTGGGAGAGATGGCTGAGGAGCTAAGTGCTTACTGCTCTTTTTTGCGGAGGACCCAAGTTTGCTTGTTAGAACCCATTCGAGGTGGCTCATAACTGCGTGTAAGTCCAGCTGCAGATGATCTGATGCCTTCTTCTGGCCTCCTCCAGCATCTTCAAACACACACACACACACACACACACACACACACACAGAGCAAAAATCTTAAAAGTGTGATAGGCTCTTGAGTTTACGTGTAGATTTAAATTTTTTAAATAATTACTATTGTTATTGTGTGTGAATATCTGCATGGGCAGTGTGTGTGTGTGCGCACATGTGTGTTTGAGTTTGAGTGCAGGTGTGCATGGGAGTCAGAGAACAGTTCTTGGCAGTTCTCTCCCTTCTATCACGGCTTCCTGGCATTGAACTCATGT